CCAACCCCCCCCCCCCCCCCACCCCCCACACACACACACACACGTGTTCACACCAACACACACGACAAAGATTTCCCCTTTGAATCCTTTCATTGGTGGACAGACATTTGTCCTAAATTTGTCCTCAGCCAACACAGAGTAAATGTACAGTTATAAGATTTCTTAGAAAAACATGTTGTATGTGATACATACATTTTGTGTGTTTCCGCAGACAGGCTTCCTGAAGAAGCTCAGTCATGAGCCCTGAGCCATGCGACTCTCATTTGGGTTGTGTTTGGTTGCAGCTCAGGACAAAACAGCTACTACTCACTGCTCTGTTTATCTTGTCACGGTGGGCTGACAGAAAAAAGGAGCTTTTCTCCTCCTAAGTTGAGGCTTTCACTCCCATCCATTAGACATCTAGCCCATCGATCCCACCAAGCAAAAGCTAAGCTCCTCCTTGACTTGCCTCTCACATCCAGACAATTACTTTTCATTTTTCCCCCAATACTTCAACACTAGCAAGAAATCTATGAGTGCATTGAATTGAGTTGCTTGTTGTTTCCATGAATTATGAGGTCTGAGACACATGATTATCCACAACAGGCACATTCCAGACATACTTACTGTATGTCACACAAACATAAGCTGTTCATGCCTTTTTCAGGCCTTCAGATTCTATGAATTTTGCTCTTCCTGCCTCCCCCACACTCCCAGAAGCTGAGCTCCCTCCAGGTCCCACATTCTCCCTTCCACTCCTTTCTTTCTCCAGCCCTCTTCCCTCTCTGATCTTTTCCTTTTAACTTTCTCTTGTCTGCCTCCATCCATCCCTCCTCCAGACACCCATCCTCTTCAGACAGAGGTCAGAGTTTAAGTCTTGGCAGCCCCAGCAGCTCCCTCTCAGACAAAAGTCTGCTTCAGAGGTTCAGCATCCCCTGATTCATATTTTCAGGACAACAGTAGATGGTGACCGCGCTTGCCCGGGGTCAGCATTCAAACTCTAGAAAATCCCCTCTGAACCAAGTAAATTGGCAAGATCTTAAAAAAGAAACAGCTGGAGAAATAGTGGGTTTCTCTCTTCTGTCACATTCTTTCAGTATCTTATCACTTTCCTCAGATAGTACATGGTGAAGAGACACAGGAAACAGAGAGGCATGGCAGCGGCTCAGGCACCGTGGCAGTTAACAACCCCAAACCGCTGCAGTGCCGTAGTTTATGAACTATAATTTCTGACAAAAATGGGATTGGTAGGGTTGTAAGAGTATTCCTAATTTCACGATATTACAAAAAATTCACTGATATCATCGTGAGACTGTGACGGCAGCTACCGGGATAGTACATACGGTCATTTTACTAGTATAACTGCGTTCAGGGTGCAGAATTTGAAACTGACATAGCTGATGCTCCATCAATGGCTTTCAGAGCTGCTGTGTGGCAGCATTTCAGTTTTTCCATTTCAACAAATGACATAGTTGGAAAGGAAACTGACAAATACTGTCAGACGGAGGGAATACTAGCCCTGTTTAGGACTGAGGCACTCATGGATTCATCTTGCAGAAACAGTCACGACATGACAATGTGCTAGGCTTTAATGGGGTTGGGCAAACAAACCAGATTCACAAATACAAAACAAACCACTTAGTAACCACCCTTCACCCACATCAGCTGGCCCTGTACTCATGTTCCAGTGCAAGACAAACTTTTTCTTTCTTTACAACATTCACCTGCTGCAATAATATATGATTTTATTTCATATAAGCTCTGCTACTGACTGCTGCATTTTTTTTTTGTTTGTTTTACAGTTGTACAAACAGTTCAGTCCTTCAGTGCCAATAACAATTCATGCCATTTGTTCTGCACATCCCTAGGTCATGGCTGGCTACTTTTATTCTAATAAAGAAGGAAAACAGAAGCAGTTTAAGTTCAAAGCAAAATCAAATGCCGATTTCTTATTTAGAAAAAGGCATTGTTTCATTTGTTCTTCATTTTTTATATCATGACAAATATATCATGGACTTTTTATTGTGGGTTTTTTGTATCTTTACATCCCTAGGAATTGGAAATTTTTCTTTTGATTGACTATAGTGAACAGATCATATAAGTAGCACTAACTGAAGTTACTACACCAGACAAACACTTTGTTATTGTAAATTGTCACCTGTTTCTCACTGTGATAATATTTCCTAGGGAGATCTGGGGGTGATGATACTGACTTAACTGTCAGTTGGACAAAACATGATCCAGTGATTTTCCTGTTCAGTATGGTTTGGGATGTGTTAATACCACACTGGCTTTGTTTCCACCCACGCCAGACAAACATAATGTAGGTGACATGTACAGACCTGCTGCTTTGATGCTTTATCTCTCTCACTGAAAGTTTAACTACAACAAATTTGCAGCACAAGTTACTTGTAATTTGTAGTTTTATGACAGGAACCAAAGTTTACACAGAGGCAGAGTAAATTCCTGAAAGGACTTTGGACTTTCTGACTGATAGAGAATGGAAAGAGGGGCCTGGTGGGGGTCACTGGGAGAAGATTAGGAAAAGGGAAGAGGAAATGTAAGGGAACCACAGCTAAGGTCAAGGCTTGTGACAGCTGTTAAACAGAGAGAGTTGGTTTGTCTACATGTGGGCGCACAAATGCAATAAACATCACCACATCTGTTTTGTAAAGTTGTTCAGAGACGAATAAATCTGAATTCCACTGCAGATTATATCTCTGCCTTATTGCAAGCCATTTCTTAACATTAATGCCCACACATTTTTCCCATTTGCTGCAGCAGGTGTGATACTGTCCCAGAACTCCATCATCAATTATTCCTACTCTTCCCACAATAAAAATATTTTGAGCCAATTTTTTTCTAAAGTGGCTAAATATTTGTGCACAGCTGCACACAAAACACTGCCATACAACTCAGATTCAGACATTTTGGTTATACTGTATATGATACTTTCACACGCCTTTGTGTGTTTGCTTAAGACATTTTGACATATCACAGCAGGAAAAGCACAGATGTAAATAATCAAATGGATGTTGGCTGACTGATGGTTTCAGGGTGGTGTTATTACACATGCAATAGTTTACTGGGACAGCTGAATAATAGTCAGTGACACCTGTGCTTTTCCTACTATAACAAGTCAAAATATCTGCCTGTTGACAAACGTAACATGACCTGATGTGACTAGTTTCACACTGGTAGTGAGTCAATGTTCAGTACACCCACAGTCATGGACAAACTATGAGACAATGGGCCCCTACAGTACCTCTCCCATACTTATAAGAGCAAGACTCATGCTGAGCAACCACAGGAGTTAGAGTCAGTTCTTCCTGTGCTTGTTCTGTGTCCCTTTGTATTTGTCTTGTGTCCGTTTGTAGCCATTTTGCACTTGTTTTACTTAATTCCTGTGTATATTTGTACTAGCTAGCAATTGCATGCAACCATGCAAACTGATGCCATGATGAAACATGAATGGATGCTTTTCCTCAACACAATCACTTGTGATCCCCGTTTACCAGATGTTCAGTGTAGGCTACTGGTTTGTCACCTGGCTTCCCATAATGCAGCTCCCTGTTTCCAGCACTGTAGCCTGAAGGGTTGTAAACAGTGGAGCCATTCAGCAGCTGCTGCTGCTTCGCTTCCAGCAGTGCTGCTTCCAGCGGGGCACTTCTCCATTGGCACATATTGCATCACTCTACCTGGGTGAGGATGCGTTGTCCCTCCAGTCACAGCGCACCAACGAGGCGCGTAGCTGTGTGACATCACTCTCCCGTTACTACAGCCGTGCGCCAGGAGCAGGCGCAGCGCACTCGCTTTGTTTATAGCCTACTACCGACTCATGCTTCTTCACTTCAGCTTTGTTCAGTGAGAACTCAAATAAAATCAAACTGTATCTCCCGTGTTTTATGTCTCATTTATTATGGTGCTTTAAAAGTGACAAACACTGATGGACTTTTGTTTGTGACTGTGTCCATATGTCTCCTTAATAAATGTACATCTGTGGCTTCATATTTACGGAGGCTTCTTCTCAGAGTTTATTCCTCAGTTACTGTAGTTTTCTGTCGCCAACAGAAATGAACATGCGTGATAAAGAGAGACTGTTACTCACCACTTTGGCGTTTGGAGTCCATGGCGTCTGATATGCTACCGTCTGGGTCACCCAGCTTATTTCCAGCAATAAACCCCCGGTTGTTTCATTTAAAAGTTAGGGTTACGAACAGGCGACGCGCACACAGCTGAGATGTGTCAGCCTCGGAGCGGCGAACCGAGCCACAGGGTCTACAGTTCATAGTTTGACTCAGCGGCGCTGGTTCCTCATCCAGGGATCCACCGGGTCCTAGTGCTGATCCACCAGCCTGGATTTGGTTTAATCACACTGTCATGCAGTGACTCTCAAAGGACTCATTGAGACCACACTAGTAGTCACATGAAGTAGGTGTAACCTCCGGAAACCTCAGTGTGCTGTAACTGATAGAAATGGAACATTTATGCTACTTTACTTTTCTACTCCACTGTAATCCAGAGGGAAATACTGTACTTTAAAAAAAACTTATTTACACTAATTTGATAGCTTTATTTACTGTTACATATTAGGATTTTACATGCAAAACACAAGCTCACTACAACCCAACAGCATATGAAGCTGTTGAAATTATTTCCACCTGGACCAACTAAAGCAGTAAAATGCTATATACACACCAATACAGTCATGATCAAATTACATATAAATATACAACTCTCACACTGAATACTTGGAGGTTTTTCATTACCTTTACAAACAATACTTTTACTAGCACTTTGAATGTATAATTTTACTTCACTTTCGTTTGTCATTCATTCATTTTCACTCCCTAGGCATCTAAACTTAAAATAGAAAAAGGTCCAGCTATCCTATATAACGTCAGCAGAGGCCTGAACAGGTGTCACCATTTTGGACTAACCTTCCCTGCCTGCAGGAGAAACCCGAAGCAGGAAGAGGAGGGGTTGTAATGTTAGAAAAACCATTTTCAAAATACATTATATAAAAAAAAATTTAATAAATAAATCAATGACCCAATAACCCCTCCCCCCACCAATTAAAAAATGTTATTCCAATAAATTAAAAACAGGTTAGACTGTAGACATGAGGCTTAAAGGTGGGACGTGCGCACACACAGACACACACACACACACACAGTTGTTTTCTAAATTCAGGGGACGTTACACTGACTTGCATTCATAACCTGAACCCTAATATACTGATCTGAGTTTGGGGGACTTACATTTCGTCCCCATTAAGTATGTCGAGTCCCCACAATGTGACTGTGTAAAACAATTTATGTCCCCACAACATGAGTAATACCAGGCCACACAGACTATTCTCACAAACACATGGTTTCAGTCCTTGCAACAAACAGCAACACTGTTCTATCTTTTACTTTTTCAACACTCTTGTAACAAACTATCCAGCACCTTCTGTTCCAATCAAATCAGTTTCAGTTCAGCCTCTCTCTTGTTTTATCACAAACACAAATCTTTTCTTTACACTTTCTTTTTGTGACACTTGTCTCTTTCAGTTTCCTTTGTGTACTTATTTTCCCTTTGAATCACTTTTGCTCATCTGTTCACACATTCCTTTCCTCATTACTCCCCCTTTTCTTTCCTTTTGTCCTATTTGCTTCATTCGCTTCATTTGTTTTCTTACATTTTTTCAGTAGACTTCCCATTGTCCATGAAAATCCTCCATCGAATGTTTGCTGTCACATGCACACACACAAACCCCACAAACACAACTCAGAGTTCATCATAATCTGTCAGTTGAAATTTTGAGCTGCTTCATGATACAACTGCAAGTATTTTTAAATATAAGTGAAACACATATCTCATATAGAACCTGATTTCTAAGCATAATTAACATGTCTGAGCTCAGAACCGAAACACATTTCATTCACATTAAACTTTCATCATCATCATTTAAAAAAAAAAACACCGCAGTGAGCTCAACAGTCTGCTAACGTCAGAGGAAAGAACTCTTAGCACTGATATGGCTTCCAATAGCAAAATCAAACACACACCAGAAATAAAAGAGGAAAACCTTTGGTTTTCAGTATTAGCACATTATAAAAACACGGCATATTTTCAGTAACCTTCACCCAATCTTTAACTGCCTGTCATAGTGTCTCTCAGCCACTACGCTCATATTACAGGCCTTGATGCTCAATTTCAATCTTTATGTCTGATCTTTTTCTGTTCATGGTTTGCTTTCATGTTTGCAAGTGACATGTGTCTGGCTCTGGTGTGATCACCGTTTAGCTCCCAAACCGCCATGCATGCGCAGATTTAACTGAGATGTGAGTTGTTATGTTCACACAAAAAATTACATCATTTGTTTCCCTCATTCCTAGTTTGCCTTGATCAGAAACTCCTGCAGGACCACATACTGATGTGCCCCAGATCTGATTTGAAAAAAAATCTGATTTCATCAGATCATATCTGAGTCATTTAAGGGCAAAAAATTTGGATTTGAGTCACCTCAGCATGTAGTCTGAACGTAGCCAGCGTCAGACCCTCAGTATGGCATGACGTCCTTCAGCCCGCCACCCTGATGCTCATGTTAACATAGTGCCATCTAGTGGTACAAGAGGCAGGAGCAGCCATATCCTCAACTTGTCTGTTTCAGCAACAGTGTGGCTTCTTTCCCCTCTCTTCTTCACACTGTCCTTCAGGTTCTCCTTTCTCTAATTTACCCATTTTGGTCAGTTGTCTGTACACACCAGTGCACCACATGCCAAGAGCAGGAGGCCTGGTGGTCTGACTGTAAACATTTTCATGCTAGCCAGGTCCTCTTCCACTGAGACACAGTGAGTCTGGGGTCAGTAGGACTTTCTGGGGACTACTTTTCAAATCAAACTGTTGGCATTAAATTTGCACTGGGTCAGACAGTCCTGATGACTTAATATTCTCAAAAGAGTCGGACCTGTTTCTTAAGTTCGTTCTTTTTCCACTGAGCAAGGCGGTCAAAGGCAGACATGGACATGCCAAAGACTCTGTAGAACTCCTCTGGTGAGAGGTGACGCTGGGAGGAGAGAATAGGCAGAGACACAGAACCAGTCAGAAAGTCACAAAATTATACTCGTGTTAAATTCATGCAGCTTTGAGAAAAACATGTCAGCATGACCCTACCAAGGTGTCCCAGGCAGGACATTCAACATCTAGTGTTTCCACTGTGTCTTGTGTTTAGGATGATGAGTGACTGGACTGGATTTTGTAAAAGAATTTCACGTAGCAGTTTACCTCCAGTCTGGCTCGGTCCACGTCACTGGGGAGACGCTGCTGCCCTCTGACTGATATCATCAGCTCTTCATATGGGTAAATCTATGAAAGAGAGAAACGGTGTTACTCAGACAGCGCATGTTCCTCCAGCAAGGCACAACATGTGCTCACCCAAATGGGTCCTTTGTAATAAAAAAAAATCTGATCCAGAACAACACAAAATGTCCTAAAATCCTTGATCTGTTTCAGATCATATGTTAGGGTATGACTCTGTGCATCTTGCCTGAACATTTCAGGGTTCTATCTCCATTACAGGCCAAGTTATGGCAGAAAATATGCCTTAAATAGGGTGGTCAGGAGACAGACAGTGACATCATATACTGTATATGTATGTCAAATTTCAAATGAACAATGTTGTTGATAACTTTTGAAGGAGATATTAATTTGTTTTACATTTTGCTCTATGTTAAAACATGATCCAAATACCATTACAATCCCAGTGCATAAACTTTTGTTTGACTATTTCTGTACCATAAAGGCAGCCAGACTTTTTGTTTCTGTCAACACTGACAGCGGCTGAAATAAATTAGAGAAATAGATTAAGTCTCTGTGTTTCCTTTTCCACTAATCCAGGCCTTTCACTTGTGGCTCAGTTCACCAGCTTTGGCAGGAACATCTTACCTTGTATTCTGGAAGAAAATGGAGAAAAAAAAAAAATCACAGTGGTAAATTATCTCAACGGTTGCGACATGTATTCCATTGTTACATACACTCTGAATAATATGCATCAGGAGGGGAAGTAAAGCAGGGGAAAACTGTAGGCTTACCTCTGATCTGCCAATTAACTGCGTTATTGCTGTCATACTGGTAATAATCTGCACCCACACTCCCTGGCTGCCAGAGCACAACAAGAGCAGTTTATCAAACATGAGCCATGAAGATGCATTTTATCATCTTATTATCAAGGGAAAGGAATTATCATAAAAGGATCACACAAAGTAGAAAGAACTCCTAAAATCTTCTATGAATGGTCCCATCACACATGTATTCTCTCTAATAATTTATCACACAGGGTAAAACAATATCTTGCCAGTTGCTGCCTCAGTTTGCCTCAGGTTCAGTGACAAATGAAGGACTTTGCCAAAGCTGATGGTTTGTTGAACAGCCACATCTGTCTTGTACTCCATCTCACTCTCCCGCTGTCTCACACACACACACACACACAGCTCCATCTCACTCTCCCGCTGTCTCTCTCACACACACACACACACAAATGCACATTCACAGAACCAGAAATCATGATTACTTACCCTGTTTAGTCCATTTCTTCCGTAGCCTGGCAACGAGGCCGACTTGGCAACGTACGAGTCTGCAAGAACAAACATAAACAAGCAAAAATTGTGCAAACTAATACAAGCACACTCAATCTGTGATTAGGACTACAGTGCATCTACTGTTTATAGCCTTTTAATGTCTGAGAAAAGTCTCCATAAATATGGTTATTTTGATTATTATTACCTATTACAAGAGGAATCTACAGACAAATTTCCAAAATGAATTCATTTTTATTTATTCTCATCTACAACCATTTGACTTCTTGCACAAAAGAAATGAGATGAGGTTTATGGAGGAAAAGGAGGAAGGACGTTTTACTTTAAAGGGACCTTTGTTGTAGTGCCAGCAAAGTTTGACCAGCATCTTTCTCAACTGACAGTTGCTGAAGGATTGGAAAAGGATTTTTAATGAATCTTGTTAAATAAGATAAGGTTTTCACATTGGGGAAACTGTTTCTCCCATATGGTATAAGAACTAAAAGCAGCAGGACTCCTGTCAAGACTACGAATGCTTTCCAGACACCCCAGGGTCCTGAAGAAGAAATGTGGCTCTGATCACATTGTGATACCACAACATCACTTTGGAAGCAAATAATCAGGGTCTCCACAAACACCACAACTGTGACCTCAGATGACATTTAACTTATTGCAGCCTCGCTGTTTCTGCTTCAGATAATTAGATTTCTACCTGAATCAACTTCAGTAGGCTGGGTCTGTCCATGGAAACATCCTACATTCACAAGCCAGCACCACACTGTTAATATAATTTTTAAAAACTGTCCTTTTGTTGTCGCTCCTCCAGCATGTTTGCACCTTTATGTAGCCAGGCATTTTTGTTTATGAAGTACACAGCTGCAACTGAAGCAGCAGAGGGCAGTGTAGTCCCACCAATTATCTCAAGTCAGCCTGCCAGCTCTCCTGTCTTCATCAACTCTGTTTTACTTGCATCTTCTTCACCATCTTGACTGATTCTACCAGTCTTTTGCGTTTCCTTCTCTTTTCTCCCTTGCTCTTCTGCTATCTTACTCTGTCCATCTTCTATTTCAGTCTCCCTCTCATTTGTTCACCCTGTTGTTGCAAGGAAATAAATTACACGGCAATGTCAAACACCATGATGTAGCAAAACCCTGGCCTGTGTGCAGAGCTACTGTTCCATGACGTTGAACTATAATTTGTTTGTCAGCTATTACTTTTTCTCCCCCAACGAAAAAGGATCTACTTTTTTAAATTAGTCTCAGAAAAATTGCTGTTTCATCAAAGTGATGCCAGATAGTGTGAAAACTACTAGCCTAAGCATCTTTTATCAAAACATTTGTAGTACATGCGCTGCCCTATAAGGACTGCTGCCATTTGAATCCTTATAATAAAGGTTTGAGCAATTTTTTGTCATCCATTTTATTTTAGTGGAACAAGAAAGAATTCTGTGATATTCAAAAACAAAACTGGAGGACAGGTTGGTCTGTTATCTGGCTAAAATCCACACAAGAGCAATAAAGACACCAGGAAAGCATGGTGATCAAATGTACAAGCAGCAGAAGACACATTGCATAGATTAAGGCCAAGTGTGGATAATGTGAGTGCATAAAATCTGATGGCTGAGGGGTTCACGCCACTGAACCCGGATCAGTGCCACCTCTAAATAAAAGCTAATAGGTACAGGCTGAAGCTACAGTGCTGTTCACCTTTCCACTTGTAACCCCCCCCCCCCCCCCCCTCCACCTGCGTCGTGGTGTGGGGGCGTGTGTGGGTGCTGTGTGTAGAGAACAGATCTCCCACTGAAAGCAGTGCCGCTGTTGCAGCAGAGTGACAGGAGTAAGAGGATCAGAGAGAAGATGACCCGCTGTGTTGCCGCCTCCATCCAAACAGCCTCCAAGATCAAAACACACTGACAAACCACTCACCGCTATCTGCACTGTAGACGGACCTGGGAGCTGAGGACACAGAGACAGCAAGGGGGTGAGACATGGAAAAACATGACAGGTCTCAGATAATAAACTCAAATGAATGGCGCTTTTTGCTGTCATGTGACCTTTTTGTGTTATCTTTTGTTATAATAATTTTGTATCACATGTAAATTGTCAGATTTGTTTTTTTTACAAAGTTGAATTTTTCCAAGGAGTTTTAGTTAACCAAACTAAACTTCTCTCCATTGTTTCTTTGTTGTAGTTCACCTGGTTCCAGTGTGAAGTGATTGGTAGCTTGCAAACCTTTCTTTCAAAGCAGCTAACCCAACACTGCAAAGGGTAAGCTGAATTGGGAGTTAAAGTCAGTGGAGGGGAAATAAAGGCCAGCTGTAGTGGGACATCTATAAAACATCAGCTGTGTGAGGACATGCTCCAACCAGCATCACCATGCGGACATAATCTCCATCAAGACAGACATATTGTATAAAATATGACGCAACACAGGAACAGCCATGCAGCATCAGGGTTTGTACTCAGGCCACTCGTGTTAAAAATGCATGTTTCTGGCACCCACCCTTTGCAATTTGTAATTTTGATAGCCTGTGCTGCAGTTTGAGATTTATAGTAATAAAAGTAGGTCTTGCATTTTTTATTTATGATTTTATTGCCATGATAGATGAAGTAACAAGACCAAGACTCTACACCCATGAGGTCTTGTGAGGTATGACTGTGCTTTGTGATAAATGTAAACAGCAGCATGCTAACATGCTTATAATTACAGAATGTGAATGCTGAGCAGGCACAACGTTTACCATGGTCACCATCTTAGTTTAGTGTGACAACATGATCACATCAGCTGACAGAATAGTGCAAAAACTGGCACTAATGGTGCCAGATGATTACAAAAGTCAGTACAGTTTATCCTCTTGAAAACATAAATGTCTTTACCAGATTTAAAGTCAATCCAATAGTTGGGACAGATGAGACCAAAGTGGTGAATGGACCAGTTGACAGAGAGGCCGATGGAGAACCATGCCACCAGCATGGATCAATAAAGGTATAGAGTGTTAGTTATTTTGTAGGAGTTCATGTCATTTCTATTAAATATTGGGAATCCAATTTTGGAGTTAGCCTCTCTTTTCAGTGAGCATACACCCCTATAAACTCAAAGTGATGACTTACACAGCACTGAACACCCACATTACCAACACCCCTCTCTGTCTGACTGCTCTGTGCACATAGTTCATTTCCCTCCACGACTCTGACCCTCTTGTGATACATCTTCTCTGAACAGCTCCAAAACTGCTTTAGCTTCTCACTCTGCTCTCTCTTTTATACTTAATCTACTCTCTATCTTCTTTACTTTCTCTCTGTCATTCCTGTTACTGCATAACCTCCTCTCTTTAATTCCCGTTTGACCTCCACCTAAACACAGTCACACTCTCGCTCTCCCTCCGAGTCTCTTCATCTTTGTCTTGCCTTTACAGGTGCTGAATGCAATGAGGAATGAAATCAATGGCACACTTAATAAAAAAATGGAAAACTCCGCCCAGTACAGCTCGCCTCAGCATCACAATGAGACATACACTTCCCTTCTCAATCGAGTATATAAACAGAAACCAACCTTTACCAACACAAAAAGTCAAAAAGTACAAAAATCACACACACACACACACACACACACACACACACACACACACACACACACACACACAGACTTACAGCCATCGAGTGAGCTGTATTCTAGACTGTTTATCGCCTCCTTGCTGCTACAGTGGGAACTGCATCTGCTCCCCCACTTGTCATTGTCGTGACGGCCTGACCGAGCCTTCATCTCCTCCTTCAGGATCATCCTGCCGATTCCCTGTGGGGAGGGAAGTAGGGACAAGGAAAGCAGAGCAGAGGGAAGGAATTGAAAGATGGATTAAAGGGGCCAGAAAATGGGCAGACAGATGGAGCAATAGGAGTTTGTTGAGTAGGAAGGATGCATGGGTTGATAGATAGTGATGGAATAATGCAGGGGGAAGCAGTGATTGTTGGTTGGAAAGACAGAGGGATGAATATGAAGTGAAAGAAGAAGGTTCAGCCGATGAGGTTGGAAAAATGAACTTAATTAACTAACTCATTAAATATTAACACACGTACACTTAAAACATAGAAGAGAGAAAAGCAGGAGGTTCTTCCTTCTTACCCTGTTTAGATTGTGGTTCCATCCATCCTCCTCTCCTCCAGATGAAAACCTCCTCACCCTGGAGACTAGAGAGAGAGAGATGGAGGAAGAAAAGTAGACAGAGAGATGGGAAGTAAAGCCAAGCAAAAAAAGAACATCAAAGCAATTTTTGCTCTCAAAATTTCACTTTTAAAATGACTTACTAAACTTCTATATCGACTGCTTGGGTATTCTATAGGTAACATATGTGCTTGAGGTCTGGTGTGTCACTATATCCCCTTGTGTGTGGACAGGTGTGAGAAAGAGATGGAGCGGTACCTTTAGGAGATCCAGTATATGGGTAGTAATTGGAGTCCGGGTGATAAATGCTGTTACAGTTGGAGGCAGAAAGGCGACTGGAATTGATAAGGTTCTCATTGGTCTTACTCTTATTGCCTGTTGGGGAGGCATAGATGTCTGATAGAAAGACAACTGGAGCAAGAAAAAGAGAAATTGCAGAACCTGTTTTTATTAGAGAGACATTGATTCGTAATGGTGAAACGTTTTATCCAAGGATTTTTAGGTTGATTTTCATGCTTGGGAGAATTTTAAAATGTGTTCTCCTCTGCCAAAAATGGTTTGGTTTTGTTGTTGTTCTCTAAAATGTTTCACGGCTCGATCAATGTGAGGGTGAGAGATTTTGTGTGTGCAGGAGAAACAAGACAGAAAGTAGAGCATTTACTTAGAGAGAGGGGAGGGCACAGCAAGGGGGAACAAGGGAGCAGAGAACGGAAAGGAAGTTGGAAAATATGTGATGGGATATGATACACAAGTTCCAGTAAGGAAGAGGGGCTGCAATAAAGCTGACAAGTCAGATTAGGAAGATGGTTACTGGTGTGAAATACTGTGTACACTAAAAGACATCAGGACATAACCTAAATGTTGTTTAATTTGTGTGTAAAAGCTGAACTATCATAGCAGCAGATGGGCTTGCAATTTCCTTGTGAGAGAAGGAGAATGCAGTATGTTAGAGAAAATTGCTGGCTTATTAGAGAGCGGAGAGTTGGTGACATATGGTTTAGCTAAGGTCATATTTCAAGTGATGCTGTGCATGCATTAGTGTGACCTTTGGTATCTGAACAACAAAAATCCAACTGAGCAATTTGCCCACTATTTATTTTTGGGTTTTTACAGAAGAGGATTGACACAATTTATTTAACAGGGAAAATGCATTTGTTATTGTTTCATGTGCAACATAGAGAACATTTTTACATTTAAATCAAATATTAAAAGGGTTTAAAAACAAATATAAACAATAAAATAATTAACACTTGGCCTGCATTCAGCAAATTATTCATCCGTGATCCTTACTTTGCTGTCCTTAGATGTAGACCTACCTTTCTCAGAGCTCCTCTGGTAATATAACCTAGAGGAGCTCTAAAAGGTTTGCGTTGTCAAGGTGCAACATACAGTGACATACATTCTAGTACTAAATATACTATATATGGCTCAGATAACGGTAGGTTATGGTGGCATGGCCTTAATATAAAAACTGCTCTACAAGTGACTCATCCTGTAAATTTAGTTTTGCCCCCATAGCCTGGATCACAGATTGCCGCCTCAGTCTGAAGAGAGAGAGGATTGTCAGCACTTTGTAGCGCAGTGTAAATCATCCAGAGGTGCTCCTGAGGAACCGTAACTCTGCTGAACTTGCCATCTCAGCACTCAAGGATCACCTACACACTCTGAGCATGTGGCCCTGCTTCCTCACCCCTCAAATCTGCGACTGAATCTGTAATCTCCTTCTGATGTGACTTCAACAATGTAATCACATTCATAGTCCAGCTCACAACTTGAATATATCCAGAGTCACTCATTTAGGACAAATCAGATAATAAGTGATGAGTTGTGTGTTGAATTCCAGCCATGATTTGGAACACACCAATCCAACATATCTCCTCCAATCGATACTGTAAGTCACCTCTGCATAATTATGATTCAGTCATGCTATGGCTGACACTCAACCCATATGAGGGCTGGTGTTGATCCAACATGTCATATTGGGTGATTTTATTTGAATATCAATTATCAGGTCTTTGCATTATTGGCTAATTTGTCCATTTTGATTTCACTTCATTGATTAATTAGTTAAAAGGTGTCAAATGCCCATTGTATTTGACTAGGGTAACTGACCTACCCTCATCAACCCAACAGCACATTACAGAAGCTGAAACCTGTGAATGTTTGTTTTCTCGATAAATGACTTAAATGATGAATCAATTATCATATTCATTTTTATGTTTTAGCATGGGTACAGGTTACACTACAGTTTCTGTAGGGTCCCTACATGGTGCCTTCCCCCAGCATACAGCATTCTTCTCCTCAGTTACCAGACACATAAGATGATTTTAGAAACACTGGACAATTTGATTCTGTATTCAAGTCATTCACTGGCACGCCATTATCCATAAAGTGCAACAGAACCTGCAATCAAATCTGTGCAGGCTTGTAGAAGAAAATGCTTTCCTTTTCTTTGACTACTTCCATTTTTGAGAAGAGCTATACAGGAAGAGTGGATGTCATTAATGCATTGACAGTGTATGCAGAAACCTAATAGCCTGCCAAAATGCATAAAAAGCACAGGAATCATCTAACCTTGTGTCTTATAGATGGGGGGTTTCCTGTAGATGTTGGTTTCCTCGGAAGCTGAGAACAAACACATAAAAGTTAATGGCAGAAAGGTAAAGAAACAGGTGAGGACAGGGAAATCTGGATTTTCTTATTAATCCTGTCCCATCAAATTATTTGTATACATTTATAGCCTTGTCAACCATAATGCTGGCAGCACAGGTAATAAATAGTGGAGGCAGAGCCGTGCATTCGGGCAACCTGACTGACGTCCAGAGAGGTTGATTAGGACAGATTCACAGGCCTATTACAGGAAAGAGCAGCAGATGGCACAAAAAAAGAGGAAGGAAAACACTTGAATGTTGGAGACAAGAAGCTCAGGAAAGATAAAGGGGAGAAGAGAGAGGAATTTAGAAATGACACCTTGCACCTTGTAAGTCTCATTTGGTCGGAGTTCTGGAAAAGCACAACAGCCGCACATTACAGTAAACTGTAACCAGTTTTTAACCGGCCATAAAACAAGAAATAAAGCAAGAAATATTTTCAAAATGCTTCCAAATGCTCTATGAGCGTACCACCAGTCCCACCAAACTGAAGGTCAGACTCCCAATGAGCCATCTGTGCTAAATTTGTACACCACTGTAACACTGTAAGGCATTCTGGATAAAAGCATCCACCAAATACATTTTGCTCAGTGTTGAAAAGCATGTGGGAAGTGCGGTTGCAGGGCTGGCAAGAAGTAACAGCCTCCGAAGAAGCAGAGAGAGGGAAAATATAGTGAGAAAGGTCTGAAGGCAGGAGGAGGAAGCGATGGAGGGACACCAAATGCTCAGATTGCGATGAAAGATAAAGGCCTTCTCAGGTGAAGCGACCAGAGAGAGTCGAACAGGAGGGGAGGGAGGCATTAACTTGATAAAGTGGACAGTTGAGAGAATGTTTAAATGAAATGAACTGGTTTTAGTTGTTAGAGCAAAGCGTTCATATGTTAGACAAGTGCAGATCAGTAAGATACTGTAAATTAGACAGGATGAAAGCTCACTGTTTGGTGTGAGCAGCTGATGTAGATTTGGGTTAGAGTCTTGACTAGGAATAAAATCTGTTTATAGGAATGCCAGAGATTAACAGTTAGATTGAGTCTAGACTCTCTACAACCTACAGGATACAGTGTGAGAAAGTATTCGGAGGTTAAGTTTGGGAAATGTGGGTTAGTATACAGGTAAGGGGTCAGCGTCACGGACGATGGCCTACCTGGGACATGGAAATGCTTGGGGGCTTGGAAGGTGGTGGCGGGTGGTGTGGTACACCAGGTCACTGGCTGACTGTAATAGGGTGAACTCCTGCCACTCTCACTGCCTAAAGTCAGAACAGTCGATCACAGTGAGAGACCAAAGCTGTCAGGTTTGCCCAGCTCCACCTTCCTCTCTTCTTCTTCCTCACACTAGCCTAGCCCTTGCACTGATTACACTATTCAACACACCTGCCCCGCTTCCCTGATTACTCACCAGCTGCACCTCATTAGTCTCCTCCATACTTATACACTGTTCACCAGTCACTCCCTTGCCAGTTCTTTCTCTGTCTTCAGGCCAGTGGTTGTTATGTTGTTTTATCAAGTTTATGCTAAGATTGTCTTTGTTCTCTCTAGTCCTTGTTAGCACCCTAGTCGTTATCCTGCCCTG